GAAGAGAGCCTAGGACATTTTACTCCTACCTCTTTTAATAAACTTTTTGCTTTTGAAAAATGCCAAAAGAGATTATTCTTTTTGTCTTTAATGACTTATAGTATTTCTCAGCATAGTGGCTTTGATTTAGGTTTTTTAAAATTATACAGTGGATATGGCAAAAGTAATAAACACTGTCAGCTTCCCTGGCTAATATTATTTTCTTCAGCTATAGAACCTATAAATATACAGTCTAATTAGGTATTAGCTGTTAATATCACAACCCATTATGAATCATTTCCTGTTCTCTGTGAACAACCCTAAATTAGACTATTGATCATTACAAGTAGCTAAATAAGAAATTATAACAAATGTATCTTGGCAGTTTTTGACCCTCCAAAGTCTTCTGTTAAGTATCCCCACTATGATCCTCCTGGGTTGTTTCTCTTGAGCTCAAGGCTAAAGTCTTAAGAGGAAAGAGGCTTAGTGTGTATTGTTGTTGGCTTAGTAAGCAGGTCAATAAGTGTTTGTTAAAATTGTTTGTTAAAATTGATACCCCCATGGTATCAGGGGTATTCTTCAGACATATTTTAGCAATATGAAAGAACACTGTTCACTTAAAAAAAAAAGGACAATCGTCTGTACTGTGAATTTAGCTAATATGAAGGAATCTTTTCATTATTCAGTTAAGCAATCATCGATAATAGTTATTCTCGAATGATCAACATGGGTTTCCAGCCATGTCCCTAAATTAAAAATTTGAAGGTTCAAGAATCACAGCCAGGAGCTCATGCCTGTAATGCCATCACTTTGGGAGACCAAGGCAGGCAGATCACCTGAGGTCAGGAGTTCAAGACCAGCCTGGCCAACATGGTGAAACCCTGTCTCTACTAAAAATACAAAAATTAGCTGGGCATGGTGGCAGGTGCCTGTAATCCCAGCTACTCGGGAGGCTGAGGCAGGAGAATCGCTTGAACCTGGGAGATGGAGGTTTCAGTGAGCCAAGATCATGCCACCACACTCCAGCCTGGGCAGCAGAGCGAGACTCTATCTTAAAAGAAAAAAAAGAATCAATTACTGTTGTGGTCTTAGCTGTATTTTAATGCTGTTAGGTTGATGAATGTGGAACTTTTATTTTTATCCATTATTTTCAAATTGAATCAATGTCCTCCTGATCTATTAGATCTAAGACCTAAGAGGAACCTACCTTGTTTTGGCTAGCAGGTACAGACTTTCTTACTAAAGGTGGGTGTATTTCCTAGAATAGCATTTTCTGTTGAGTAGAGACAATTTTTGAGCAACGTGGCTGGTCACTTAGCTTCAAAGTAATTGTTGAGTGTGAAAGTAAGCAGTTGTAATACCTTTTAACCACTGTCTGTGCTCTTACCAAATGGAAAATAATACTCATCTTGAAACTGGAAGTTACCAGTTCTGGGATGATCTGAGAGTTGAGACTTCTGATTAGTAGATATTGGCAGTTGCATCACACACCGGCTTGGGTGCTGCCTAGGACTGAGCTGTCTCAGTGAAAAGTACTCTTGCCTCAGACCTGGGTTGAAATCTTAGCACCAACCCAGCGCTGTGCGATTTTGGATAAGTAAATTACTTCGTCTCTGAGCCTGTGTTTCCTCTTCTGAAGGGGAAAGTAATGTCTATTGTGTAGGATTATGGTGAAAATGAGATGAGATATCCTTTATAATGTATTTAGCATGATGTTGGCATCCAATAAATACTCAAGAAACACTGGCGTCATTCTTTATATCTTACAGTATCTACCATAGATACTATGAAGAGAAAATCTTGGAAATCTGACTCTCAGAGGGTCTTTTAAAAATCTTTTTCTGAATATACAAGTTAAATAACCAGCTTCAAAAAGCTTTGAAATGTCAGATTTCTAATAAATGGCTAATATTTTAAAATCAAGTTCACCAAAAATTTTCTTTATGTTGATTGTTTCCCACATTTTTATGCGTATCGATTAAATCATTAAATGGTTAAAAAGCCTTGGTAATATCACTATTTTTCTAATTTGGATTTAATTGCTTCACCTCTAATCTAAAATCAGCGGTGGGAGGTTAGACTAAATAGTCTTTAAAATGCCTTCCTGTTCTCACAATCTGATTTTTTTGATTTACTGAATGTGAAAAATTACCTTTTAAAAAGTTTTAGATTCCAAGTTATTAGCAGAATCTAATCAATACCTTATGCTTTCGTGGTTTGTACCCTTTGAGGCAAATACTATCAGCCCTTGCAGAGGGAAGCTGACTTTTTACTGAATAAGTAAAAATTGATTTACATACGAGCTTTCGTGTTAATTTGATATGAGTTGCTGAATCCAGATGTAATCCTTTTGTTGTTGTTGTTGTTGAGACAGGGTCTCACTCTGTTGCCCAGGCTGGAGTATAGTGCTGCGATCTTGGCTCACTGCAACCTCCACATTCCAGGCTTAAGCAGTCCTCCCACCTCAGCCTTCTGAGCAGCTGGTGCTATGGGTGCGTACCACCATGCCTGGCTAATTTTTGTATTATTTGTAAAGGTGGGGTTTCACCATGTTGCTCAGGCTGGTCTCGAACTCCTGGGCTTAAGTAATCCCACCACTTTGGCCTCCTGAAGTGCTGGAGCTGTAGGTGTGAGCCGCCTTACTTGGCTAGGTGTAGTCCTTAAACTCTCTTCTTTGCCCATCCACTTGTGATGTATGCTGATGTAAGTATTCTTTTATTAAACATGGATGAGAATGTCTCTGGATAGAGAGTGTTTGTTGTAGTGGAAGAAAATCAGCTTGCCAGGTTTAATTTACTAGTCCTAATTCTGCCATCAGTTATCCCTTATTCCCCTGCACCTTGGACAAGTTGCTGGGGTTTTTTTTTTTTTTTCTTTTCTTTTTTTTTTTAAAGGCAGTCTCACTGGGTCACTCAGGCTGGAGTTCAGTGGCATGATCTTGGCTCACTGCAACCTCTGACTCCTAGATTCAAGCAATTCTCTTGCCTCAGCTGGGATTACAGGTATGTGCCACCATGCCTGGCTAATTATTGTGTTTTTAGTAGAAATGGGGTTTCATCATGTTGGCCAGGCTGGTCTTCAACTCCTGACTTCAAGTAATTCGACTGCCTTGGCTTCCCAAAGTGCTAGGATTATATGTGTGAGCCACTGTTCCTGGTCTATGTCATTGTTTTAACAAATTAGGCTCTCCTTTCCTTTTTAATTAAAAAATTTTTTTTCTTAATTGAAAAAAAATTCCATGGGACTCTGCTTGATATCTCTTTCCTGATCATCAGTTTCCTCATCGTAAAATGGAATAATACCTATTTTACAGGGTTATTGTGAGAGTTTACTATTTCAGCTGTCTAGCACATAATAGAAGCTTGATAAATGGCAACTACTTTCATTATTTTATGCAAACATTTATTCAGCATCTTCTGTGGTTGGCACTCTGATATGAAAGTGTTGAGGCAACAAAATTTGTGTATCTGGAGTTTCAATGATATATTGCCACTGTATTGGCTTTGGAATAAAGGCACACCTTGGAAGTGTGTCATTTTCATTGCTACCAGAAGGCTGCTCAATTTTTAAATTCCATTTGGTTCCTCTGATTTTGTATTCTTTAAATACCTTTTCTGAGTAATCTCAATATTCCTTGTATTATAGGTGAAATGTAGAACTAGTAAGTGGCAGATACTAGATAGGAACCCAGGTCTCTCTGATGTCAAGCAAAGCTATCTTTGTCCATATTGCAGTTGGGTGATCACAGAATTTATCCACGAAACCAGAACACTTTTGAGAGTGAAAGTTATGAGGGGACAATAAGTGTCATCCAGGACTGTCTCAGGCAAATGAAGGTGTTTGGCTATTCTATTTATAGCTAGAACAAACAAGTTTATGAGCTTGGGTCCAAGACTTCTGGGATGTTTTGGTTGAACCCAAACACTCACCTTTAGTTTTTTTGTTTACATGAGTATTGATTTTGCCATAGTAAATTAATTGACTTTAGATCTGAATGATTGAACAGTGTGGTCTAATGGTTATTAAGTTTACATTATGGTCTAATGGTTATTAAGTAGTAGCCATAATACATGTGTTCATTTTTATATTTTACTTTTTTTCTTAATTCCTTTAAAATCAGCAAGCTTTTAAAAGAGGATGGGAAGAGGTAAATGAAATAAGCTTTTTAATTCTTAGTCATGTCAGACGAACTTTGTAAACAGAGTCTAAAATGAAAATCATAACATTCCAATGTTTTTCCTTTGGGAAGATGGAAATGTGTTGACACTGAAAATCAGATGCATTTAAAATCACCTCTTTTATTGCCTTTATCTATCAGTCTGTCACCCATCTTTCTTGTTCTTTTTGCCTTATTCTTTAGGTCTCCTGTTCTTTTACCTTAGGGAGGTGCAAAACTTGACTCACATGGTAAAAGTTGGGGTGATTTAAGTTTTCACAATATCAGCATCATAGTCTTGTGGAAAGAGTGTGGGTTTTGGTAGCAGACAAACCAAAGTTTGAAGTTCTGGCTCTCCCCTCCTTTGTTGTGTGTCCTTTTGCCAATTACTTAACCTCTGAGCCTCGGTTTCCTTATAATGATATGAGGATTGGAGAACAAATGTAAAGTGCTGGGCAAATAGTAGGTCCTTAAACAATGATGACAATTATGGTTATGTGATATGGACCAGAAACTGTGGCATTGATGAAATTATAGTCAACAATCTCACCACTAATCTTGTTTTGCACTCAGACTTTCACAGTTCCCTTTGGTGGGTTTTTGTTTAAACATTCTCTCTCTCCCTCTTGATTCTATTCACTGTATCCTGAAAAATTAGTGGTTGGCAGCAGAAACCTCCTTTCCATAGAACATCAAGTGGGCCCTCCCCCAAGGTTTCAGTAAGTTGTCTGGGACCATCCCTAACCTCCAAATTGCCAAGGGTGCACCCCCTGCCCCAACTAACATTCAAGTTGCCTGTGTGAAGGAGTGATTTGTTGCGGCCTCTAACTGCTTCTTCTCTTCCTTCCTTTTTGTCATCCTGCAGTGTTCTGTGCCAAGGTCTTTGTGGCTAGGCTGCGCCAACCTGGTAGAGAGCATGTGCGCACTGAGTTGCCTGCAGAGCATGCCCAGTGTCAGATGTCTCCAGGTGCCTTTCTTCTTTCTTGTTGTAAATGTGTTTTTACGTATGCCATGAACATTTGTTGAAACTTGCAGTAGTGTGTTTAATCCAATGTTAAGTCTGCTAAATGTTCTGTGTAACCCTCTGCTTTCCTCTAGCCTGGGTGCCCCACATGGAGGAGTTAGTACCAAGAGGGGCCCTTCTGAGCAAACGGGTCTTTGGCTGGGCCCTGTCCTCCCCTTTTCTGCTCCTGCTTTTTACTCTTTCCCCCTCACCTTGAGGTTGTAATTCTCATGTTTAATAGTTGTGCATGTGCCAAAAAAAAACTCCTGACATTTTCCATTTGGCTACCTTTAACAGTTCTTTGTTGAGTTGGGAGGGTTTCGTAATTAAAGTGGTGATTTTTCTATTTTGAAACTCATCCTTTTGGCTTGCTTTCTCTCCCCTCTTCAAAAAAGGAGCGGGGAGGGAATCACTACTGGCATAAAGCCTCAAATTGAAGTTTATAAAGATCATAGCTTTATGCTGCCAATAATTTGTCAGTTTGGGCCACCTCCCAAAGGCCAGATCTGACACCTGTCCTCAGGGTCCACCCAGTTTTCCAGGCCGAGGCCGGCAGAGAATTCCACAGATAAAAGTATAACTTTTTGGGGGGTGGTTGGGAAAGGGTTGCTGAGGATAGAACTGTTAGCAGGAGTGCAGCTGGTGACCCTCTCTTGTTGGGGTGACTTCTAAGAGAGCCAAGGAAGAAAACATTATAGCTTTATTTGTGAAGCTCTGTTTAGAGCAAGCATGTGTTTAATTAAGTATGGTTTCAGTAGCAATATTCAGTTTTCATCACTGCATATTCCAGACAGTTTGATATATCTTTAAAAAGCCATATTAAATTCCTGGCATCCGGTTGAGACTGTCCTGTTTTAGGAAAACTGTAAAATTAGGCATTGAGTTAGAGGGATATTATTGATGGTATGGATGCCTTCACTGTTTTCAAGGTTATCTTTCTATTCATGTTTACAATTTTTAAATGGAGCTGGGGAGCCAGGAAGGAGGAAAATGTTCTTCATATTGGGGTCAGGCATTTTATTTACTTATTGGCAAACATTCAGAGTAGCACTGGTGTGGTTATTGATTCAAATTGCTTTCTTTGGAAAATGGTACTGGAACCTCACTAATACAGTTAACTGGAGAGCGAGTTCAATGTAAGGCCCAGTTGTCTTTAGATTCTGTATATAAAGGTGGGTTACAAGTCTTACCTTACAAGAACAGGGTGCTTCAGTGAGGCTCAAAGTGTAATGAATATATGTTTACTTTTGGAAAAGCAGCTTCTGTGCATGCGATGTAATTTTAACAAAAATGTTCTTGGAATGGCAGCCATTATTGCATGTGCTCTCCTTGATGCTATATAATGGATATTTGCATTATTATAATAGGTGTACATTTTTGTCTCCATTTTTCTGGATTAAAAGGCATGTTACAGTTGCTTTTTAGTAGGCTGACCCAGTTTTTTGCAGAACTGGAAATTCAAGAAGGGGAAAAACTATAGTTGTTAGTGAGGTCTTGAAGTGCAGATTCTTTTTATTGCATTCAGTTAAAAGTAATTGGCCAATGGAAGGCATCATTCAATATATTTTAGTAACAGTATTGTGAGTTCTCTGGAGGTGGGGTGAGTGGGAGGAAGTACGGGTTCTTACCTTGTTGAAAATGGAAATCCAAATTTGTTAAAAGTTCCTTGACTCATCTTTCTTAGTGAAACTCACTTAAGAAGAAAAAAAAAAGATTTTTTTTTTTTGCCTTGATTGGGTCTTATTTCAGTGAGTGGAGCAATATTGTCTTTAGAGATGTGTAGAGTATTTTGTTTACTTAGGTTTAATTTTTGCTAGTATATAATTGAGGGTATGCAGCACAGTAAAATGAACCAAGTACGCAACTGATTGGCATTAGCAAATCATTACTCTGTTTTGTTCCACATGTGAATGGAAAGTAAATGTATTAATATTAATGAGCCTGGAAGACTTCCTTCATCTCTACTCATTTAAGTATTACTTTAATGCCAGCATTTCTCCCCTTTACCTCCAGTCTCCAAACAGTGCTAAAATTTCGTATCTTAATTTGGGTTTGGGCTCTCAAAGAAGTCCTGTTGCTGATATGCTACATCTTTGGCTTATTGCCAAGATGACTCTTCCTTTGCACACCTCTTAGCAACCTCGTATGAAGCAGGCCTGAGAAGAGAAGGAATAGTTAGGCTACCTGGAGAGAGCAGAGCCTAGTTCTTTCCTGGTCTCTGAAGTTCCATGAAAGAGTTCCCCTTAAAATTGTCACAGTGGACCCACTGATAGTTGCAACTTGAGCCCATTGACCTGTGTATATGACTGAATTTTAGTATACCTTTTGAAAAAGCAGGAGGGAAGATAGTACTTGCCTTAGGCATAATTTACCTACTCCAGTTTCTGCCATCGTTGAGAAGGGAAAATAGATACCAGAGACTTAAAATTCACTCATTACTGTTACATGGTGCTTCACATATATTAGCTTTATGACAACCCTGTGAGGTAGGTAGGTGTTCTTATCTCCAATTTTCTGATACGGAAACAGTCTGAGGTGACTGTTTGGCCCAAGATAATGTTTACATAACTGTAAAGTTACTGGCATATGAATCACATACTTGCCTGATTCCCAAACTGGTTTTCTTTCGTCTACTCTGGAATGCTGCTTTTGTAGTTTTCCATGTTAGTTTTATTTGTAGAAACCTCACTATTGATACCTGGTGTATGGTTTATTTAGTTATTAATATTATTTATTTGAAAATAAGAAAAGAAAAACCTGCCAAATTCCATAGGAAAAAAAATTGCCATTCTTTTTGCCAAAATGAGCTCTCCTGAATCTTACAGCTAGTGAGGTTCCTGAGTGGACTTTCTGCAAACTTAATTCCATAAATATTTACTGAGCAATTGGTATGTGCCAGGGCCTCTATTGGATATCTCTGAACCAAGCTGAACTGAGTCAGTATTTCATTTGCCTCAGATGTCCTGATTCAACCAGTTGATTGTTATAGCAAATAATCAGGAATTCAGACCATGTGGATTATAGATTTGCCCAGATTCCTGTGGCATGAGAATCATACCAATGTTAATAATAGTATGTATCATTTATTTTCCACGTTCTTTCTATGTGTTGGACTCTAGGAATTGGATTATCTCATTTGATCTTTTATGGAAAAGTTATCTATCTTGCCATTTTTGTATATGAAATTGTAGAGGTGAATTGAGCTGCCTAAAGTTACACGTTTATTTAAGTGGCAGAACTGGGTTATGAACATAATCTGGATGACTGCAAAGTCAGTGCTCTAGTTACCAGTCTGTAGTGACAACTGCCATTTTAACTTGCAACTGCCATTTTTAGGTTGAAACAAATTCCCCTTAATTTTTAGAGTTAGAAATTTAAAGCCAACATACCAGTGATGTAATAGACTGGCAAATTGTCTTGGGAATGTCATTTGCAACCTCAGCTGGGGGATAGTGTTAGTGATAAGCCTTTTGCTGGAGTAGGACTGATTACTTGGAATGACAGTGAGGATCATGTGAATTGAGTTTGAGTGCCTCCTTCCAAGCTCTAGTGCATATAGTGCTGGGCAGTAAGTAATGCAACTTCTTGACAGCTGCCTTTCTTGTTTCTTTTTTTACTTGTAATAAGTGTAGTGAGCCACAGTGGTCTGAGAATGCCACAGAACTTATCACAGCTTTTGATATAAGAGGATATTTTTTAGAGGAGGGAGATAGCTTGGTAGAAAGAACCTTGGCTTTGGTGCAGACAAACCTCTATTTTTGTCCTGTTCCTACTACTTAATGACTCTGTGATCCTGGGCAAGTTACTTTATTCTCCTGAACCCCAGTTTCCTCATCTTTAAAAATCATATAGGGTTTTTATGAGGTAGAGAAACAAAATTGCCACCTCTTACTGATTCTTACTCCTGTGGGGGATGAAATCAATTTTTTTTTTTTTTTAATTTACTTGCTCTTGGTTCTCTATTTAAGAAGGAATTTCAGTCTTACAGTCTTAGATTCCAGGGGTAGGTAAGGATTAGCTGAAAAACCATGCATATGATAAGGCAGCTTTTGTTCAGGGTCGGTCCGTCTTAGGTCAGACATGGCTGTTTGAACTCATTGCCTCTTGTCTGTTTTCTAATGAGCCTTAGGGATTTGTCATTTCTTGTTGATTATCCTAATTATCCTGTAGCACCCTGGGTCTGATAATGTGAACCTTTTGGTTTGCTCAGTGGCAGAATTTGTAGTATTTTATAAACACTAAAACCTACATTTTTGGCTGAGAATAGTGGCTTACCCCTATAATCCCAGTGCTTTGTGAGGCCCAGGTGGGAGGATTGCTTGAGGCCAGGAGTTTGAGACCAGCCTTTGCAACATAGCAAGGCCCTACAAAACATTTTATTTTTGTTTTTTGTTTCTACAAAACAAAATAAAAAATTAGGTGGACATGGTGGCATGCACCTGTAGTCCTAGCTACTCCGGGAGCTGAGGTTGGGGAATCCCTTGAGCCCAGGAGTTGGAGGTTACAGTGAGCTATGATCACATCACTGCACTGCCGCTTGGGTAACAGAGCAAGATCCTTGTCTCTAAAACAGGGGTGTCCAATCTTTTGGCTTCCCTGGACCACATTGGAAGAAGAATTCTCTTGGGCTACACATAAAATACACTAACACTAATGATAGCTGATGAGCTTTAAAAAAAAAAATTGCAAAAGAAAAAAAATCTCATATTTTAAGAAAGTTTACGAATTTGTGTTGAGCCTCATTCAAAGCCGGCCTGGGGGCCTGTGGGCCATGGGTTTGCTCTAAAAATTACATAAATAGGCTGGGCGCGGTGGCTCACACCTATAATCCCAGCACTTTGGGAGGCAGAGGTGGGCAGATCACTTGAGGTCAGGAGATTGAGACCAGCCTGGCCAACATGATGAAACCCCATCTCTACTAAAAATACAAAAATTAGCCGGGTGTGATGGTGGGCGCCTGTAAT